AGCTGATCAGCTCTACCATTTCTCCGGATGCTATGTCTGCAGCTTGATCCTTCACCTATTTTTTGTTGTTTTCTTTGTGAATATTTCGACTAGCTTTCCGTGGTGTTGCTCATAAGTTTTGCAGACAGAATGGGAGGAGGGCAAAGAATGCAATTCCTGTTTTCTCTTCCCTTAACATGTTGATGAGTATGTATGAATCTGAAAATCTTAAGGATCTCATGCTGAAATTTCTTTAAAATTGTTTGATGCTGGGGAGTTGTTATATAATGTTCCAGTTTCCTGCCCCTATATTTAATATTCCAGTTTCCTGCCCTTACAAATGTAAGAAACAACATTTTCAAATGGATCCAGTGAATTTTGTGTTAGTTTTCACCATAGTGAGGCATTCTCAATTCTTTTTTACCCTTGAAAATTTATATGAGCTGTTTAGTTTGCTCACTGCTGATGAAACTTTATTGAGAGTTCTGCATCCAGATTTGAACACTGCTGTGAAAGAATAGCTGACCTATTTGAAGAGTTCACAAAACAGCAGTGACAGCTGGAGATCAAGAAACCATGATCGGTGAGGAAAGAGGGAAAGAACTGGATTTATTTAGCCCAAAGACAAGCTTGAAGGGGAGCTAATATATATAGTAAGCATTTAAAGTTGTAAAATGTTCGCCGTAGAAGAAAAAGAGCCACTTTGTTCTCTGTATTCACAGTGAATAAGGGAAATTGCAAGAAAATTCAGGGTAGATGTTAGGGGAAGAATTAAAATAATAGAGGATAAGAAGGTAATTAAATAGTTTGGGAAGGCTGTGAAACCCTCTGTCAAAGGTCTGCAAGAGAAGGTTAGACAAATGGTTTTCAGGAAAAGGAGCTGAAAACCTGACTTGGTAAGGAAGTCTTAGGACCCTCTGCTCCTGGCTTTTCTGGGACTGAATCACAAAAGAACATTTGAAGGAAATAAAACAAGACTCATGAAGGAGCATAGGCTTTTTTACACTTTGATATGTCTACATGCTATTTTGGAGGCAAACATGAGCTCACACAAAGCAACTGATCTGAAAGCAGGACAGCCACAACAAACGTGGCTCAGTGCCAAGCTGGAAAGACCTACTGAGAGTGACCCTATTTAGTTTCTGAGTGCCAAACTGGAATATTTTACCTTTATGTTGGCATTTTTTGCTGAAAGACAAAGCAAAGTGAGAACAAGATGCCTTTAATAGTTTTAGACATACAACAATAAAAAAAAAATTTTACTAAAATATGTCCAGAACACTATAGTTAAGCTGTATGTAACTATAAAAACACCTCAAAATCCTGTGTTTGTATGCTTTTATCTGAGTTCCAGTTGAAGTTATGTGCAAATCAAACTAAAAATGAATGCTTAAATGTCTCACTTGCTGTTTTCTAAGCATGATACATGTAGAAACCTCTGCAATGTGTTAGAGTGCATTTGTAGCATTTTTTTTTCTCTGTAAGAACTGCAAAAGACACACACATGCAGAATTTTAATAGACCTACAGGAATTTTCCTATGTAAATTCTACTAGGCTAGAGGAACACTTCAGCCTGCTGTGATATAGTCTTAAAAAGTATTTGCACTTTGACGGTTTGTAGTTTTTGGGGTTTTTAACAAGTTCACTATCAGCATTCTTTGTTACACAAAATACAACCTATGCTGTGCAGGTTATATTGTTATATATACATGTCTGTCATGAAAGCATATTTTACAATTAAAGGTATATGCAGAAATAAGAAGATGCTTTACAAGTATATAAATATAGAAAAAAGAGCTTTTATTTTGCTGTACAATAGTGCTTGCTTCATAGATATAATTCAGTTGAGAGGGATGTTTACATCACTTCAAATGCCAGTGGTCCTTAGACAGCCTTTGTTTGCGTGACTTGAACCTTGTCTTTTAAATATAGCAGGACGTTTATCTGTCAGTCCTTTATCTTTTGTTTCAGAGGTCTATCACTAATAGCTTTATACCCCACTCCAGTAAGCATTATGACCCCTAAATGAAGCAGCTGTTCAACAGATAGCAAACCAGCTTTTTCTAGAACATAAGGGGAACAGAATGTATACAGAGACTTAAATATATACTATTTGAATACACATATCCAGCATTTAAGGTGTGTAAGATGTGTATCACTAACTGTAGTACATTTCAAGAATATATTTTAGTAGTTGGGCATCTGGCTGTACCTGAAAAGCACATCTGAACTAGCTTTATGTAAAGTCTTTCAGTCCTTCCTGGTTGGTGTTAGATTTGTGATTTTTACTGAGCTGTCATAAGATTCAATTCATTCTAGCAGTGTGCTATGAACAGCTTTAAAATGTTTGAGTGATTAAAACAAATTCATAACTGGTAATAACTTTTTCAGTACCCTGTGAAGTTTAATGCACCATTTATCACAGCAAAGTGATACACACAGCCTGTAAAACTCTTTCAGAGCCTGGATTTACTTGGGAAAAAAGAAGTCATTCATAGAGAGGTCCAGGATTTTTATACATTATATGTTTGAAATGTGTCTGGTACAGAAGGTAGCAGCGCTGACATAGTGAGGTTAATAAAAACTTAAGAGGGATTCTGCTTAAGTCAAGGTATTTGAATCATCACATTTTTGTCATAAACAAAACAGGTTTGCATTGTAAATTCTGCCTTTTCTGTGAGTGTCTCTTCCATGATCTTTTGCTTAGCTGTCTTAAATTGAAATACGTTAATGGAATATTAAGAAAAAAGATAGGAATTACTTATGGACATATTCTGGGAAAACTGGAGTTATCTTTTCCCTAAACATTGAGGAGATTTGTGGGGTTTATATTTTGCTTGGGGTGTTTGGTTTTATATTTGTTTTTGTTGTTGTTACTTTTTAGTACTGTATGCAACCTGGAAATAAAAACAACGCTTTCACTTTTGCTATTTAAAATGCCTAGGTGATGTGCTATACAAGATCAGAGAATGTTTGTAATAATGTCTCCTTTAAACAGAAGAGACTACTGATGGACTTCTGGGTTGCAAAAGGAAACCATGTGTGATTTCTACAGGTGACTGAATTATAAGTTTTGTATGTGTGTCTTTACAGGTAGACATACAGAACTGAAGAATCTCAAGTTGAAATGAGTAACCAAGAGGCTGATGTTCTACGTTGCTGGAGATGTAGAAAATATATAGCAAATTCTGTTTGCCTTGCAAAATCTCAGAAAAAAGAACCATCTAATGTAAGTATAGCGTCTGGAGGGAGTTTATAACATTTTCCAGTGTCATTGGTTTTAAATAAAGGAGAAGGATTAGACTTGCCCTCAGTTATTAATTAATGTGCTGTGAAGATAAGTACTAAAATATGGAAAATTCCGTACAAAGTATGTAAGTAGCAATGTTACAGAAGCCAAGCAGGCAGTGATCACCTTTTTGTTCTGCAACATGAAGGCTGGTATTCATGACTCATTTGACTACTAGATTGTGTGGAGTATATAGTGTTACCATTTTTCGTATAAGAATGGGTTCTTGTTTTGACAGTTTTAATGAAGTAATATTTTGTTTTAATAGCTAGTAATAGAGAAGTCTTTTTTTCTAAGGAGTGATTTAAATACAGACACTGATTTCTGCTGTGGTGGTGGAGTGTGTGTCAAAAGTTTCCTACACTTTTGGTCTTCATTTTGAAAAAGTAGGGGATAGTCTGTGCACAAAAATAGCTCAGTTAGCTTGCCTTGAGAGGGAGTATGTTCTGCCAGGCTAAAACACCACTTAGTAATTTACATCATCTTTATTAAAATGAACAGAAAAATAATCATAGGGAATCAAACAGAGTATTTCCTGCTGCTTTATAATGGCTGTTAGTAATCATAAAGAGTTACGGTCTTTCCAAATATGCTGAAAGACTCTGGTTTCATCGCGTGATCTTGAATCAAAGCAAAAAAAGCAAACAGAAGGGAAGCTGTTGACCTTTTTTTATTAATGCACTAGAAATGTAGCAACATTCTTTTTGGCACTGGAGGGTGGTATAAGCGATAGAGATAGAAACAAAGTTGTTATTTTTTAGATCCTGATATAATTAGTATTATTAATAAACTCCATTTTAATCACTTTTCTTACAGAGCTTGAAATTCTATAATATTTTTCATACTTCATACTTGGGAGTATTTATTTTGTGCATCATTTGAAGCAGTTTTGGGGTGTATGGGATGGAAATTTCAACTCCTTTCATGAGAGAAATGTAGTGAAAAGAAGGAGATTTCTGTGCCCCATGGTAGAGCTTTTACTTGTTAGTGGAGATCCACCATCACTGTGCGCAAGACTGAAGCATCTTCTTCCATAATTATGTAGATAGCAGATAAAAGAATGTAGTTTAATGCTTCTTCCCAAGACGCTGGAAGGCAGACTGTATGGTAAGAGTAATGTTTTCAGTGTGTCACCCTTCCCTGATGAATTTTAGACCTTTAGTCAAAGACATAGCAGAAATATGAGTAAAAGAGAAGAATCTTAGAACAGATCTTAAAACCAATTGTTGAAGTTACGAATGCAGTATAAATATTTTAAATCAGAATTATATCCAAGTTGAAGTGCAGGTCCTCTCCAAAGATAGAAGGAAAATGGTAGCATAGACATGGAAAACAGATCTATCTGTCTGCTGTCATTACTTGGAGAATTTCTAAAAGCTTCTGTCTTCTGTGAATAGCCCTACTTTCAATGTTTAGCATAATGAAGTTTTATTCCTATGAGTTTCATAACATAGGAATCAGTGGTTTTCCATATTCCTAAATTTTAACAACAGGTTTTAAGACCTTCTCACCAGAGTTTTCTTATTTTTTTAGCCATCTTTATAACTTTACTGACATTCTGCATCATGTTAAAAGATTTAATTACACTTGTATTACTTCTGTGCTAAAAGGCAGCAGTTCGTTAGGTAATTGTTTTTATTTTATTATCAATTAATAAAATGCTACAGTTTTTAAGATTTTGTTTCCTCTTCAGCTAGTCACATCATCACAGTTAAAATTCAAAAGCTTCAAAGACTGCCTGTTTTCTCTGCTAGTTACTCTAACAAGCATTAGAAAAATAATCTAAAACTATTTTTGGCATAGTTGTGTGGTACTGACCACAGTCTTCATATAAACTAGAACTTAAATTCTGCTATCTTCACTGGAAAATTGTGCCAGCTGATAGTGCTTCTGAAAACATTTCTGAATATACTTGTAAGATCATAAGTTGCGTACTTTTTGTTCTTGTAAACAAAACAAAACCACCTCCAGACGCCTCCATCTCCACAGTGAAGTCTGTCCGGCATCCTTAGATTCAGAAATAGAGAAATACTGACAGCATTTACCTGATCTGTAGCTTAAGGAATGCACCAGTATCTTTGAGTTCTATCATTTGTTAATATTTACTGAATTTGGGAAGCTGACTCCTGGATATATTTAGACCAAAAAAAAAAAATTCTTAAATAAATGTTGCATATCAATACACTAATTCTTTTTTTTTTTTTTTTTAACAGACATCACAGCCTTCGTCTGCTGCTCAAGAGTCTTGCAACGTATGGCATGTGAACTTGGAAGCAATTCCAGAATGGGTGAAATGTGTCATTGAAAAGGTAGATTATTTTTTTACTTGCATCTTTATAATCCCAAATATGAAATAAGAGGGACAAATTTCAAGGGGACTTTTCTTTGAAGGTCCACATATTTTAAGAGACCCTCCAACTGAGGGAGTTCTTAACGTCTGTCATTACCATTTACAGAGGCTTTTTTTGTTCTTACATGTTTTTTTTATGTATGCACAAAACCTACAAGTGATAAATTCTATTCCTGCCCATTTATAAATTTATGTATTTCTGTCCAAACAACTGTTGCAGGCACCTCTGCATATTTTTTTCAATGCTTAAAATTGTATTATTATCTATGCTTTGGGTTTTGGTTTGTCTTGATCATCCTATCCTGCGGTACTGGCGCATATGTTGACAGTGACAGTAAGAAGCATGTTTCTCCATAAAACCGTGCTAGAGGTTTGTTAAGATATCAGTTGCTGGAATATGATATGAAGTCTTTAATGTGTTATTTGGTCACATGAATAGAAATTAAATTCAAAGGTCTGATGACAAGCCAGTGTCACTGCTTTTGAGTTTTAACTGCCCGTTTGAAATGACAAACCATCCCACAACTTTCCTGTTGTATTGTTGCTTCAGTTAAGTATTTTCTTTGGTTTAAGTCTACAAGTTAATGTTATTGAATAGATATAATAAGCAGAAACAGTGCTTTTCCTTTGCCCTACAGTTTTTCTCCGATGAGTCTTTGATTTTTGAGGGAAATGATGCCTGCATTCCTTTCTGCTTAGACTTCAGTGTCTAAGTTTTATTATATTGCAAGTAACTTCTGATCTAAGCAAATGTACTCTGAAAATGTGAAAGAAAAAAAACATGATTGTAAAACTAAGCATTAAAAATCAAGAAAATCTGTTTCATCTTTCTTTATTGTATTGCTCTGTGTTTTATTTTGTTAAACATTAATTAATTTTAAAATTATTGCTCTCTTAAATAGTGCATGACAGAAGTGTTCTGTTTCAGAAACATTGAGGGTCTGTGTGAAACTTAGGAGTGACTAAGTATTTCCCCACTTTACAGGCTTGCCTAATCTTGAATGCCTGATTATAGAATGCGGTTTTTATAGTACTTTGCATGTTACATTATTTCAGTAATATTGGATTCAATATTGATAGTATTCTTTTCACCTTTAGCTGTAAATGGCCAGCCTTCTGCATTTGAAAGCCTAGGGGGTCAGGTTGGAGACCTGGGAAATAAAAAATGCATAGACTAGTCAGGCAGGGCTTAATTGCTCAAGATTGCAGAGGAGCAGTGCTCCAGTGGTGGCAGAGGCAAAGAATGAAATTCTCTGTGAACACCTTCAATATCTTAGTGCTTATTTTGTGCTTTAATATCCTGGGAACTCTTGCTTTATTCACTTCTGACTTCTCTGGAAGGATCCTGTGGGTTTATGGATAAATGTGTGCGGGTTTTAAACAATTCTGACTTATCCCCAGGTCTCCCAGGCTCTGAATAATTTTGTGATCATGTGTTATATTTTCTCTTGTATGACTCCTAAATCAAAGGCTAAATCATTTTACATAAGCACGAAGTCTATTTGCAGGCTGTAAAAACCCACTGTTTCCCAGGCAGTTCTTTTTTGCCATCTGTCCCTGTTCTTAACCAGTCTCATTGGGTTTCATGCACACATTAGTATAGATAATCATCAATAATCACAAATATTTGGGTAGTGATGCTAGTGACCTTTATTTGCCTACATTTTCTTTCTCCCATCACTCTTCACTTGTATGAGCTTCTTTGGCTAACCCATCTTAGTTTTTCCTCTTTATGCAGTCCATCAGTAAATCTGTGTACCCTCACCTCCTTTTCATATCTTGCTGATTTTCCCCCTACCACCTCCTCCAGTAGTAGGCTGTTACTTCTTTTACTGAGTCAATGCTTTATCAGTCTGTTGCCAAACTCATGCTAAATCAGTCCTGGCCTCCCTTCTACTGCACCTCATCTCCCAGTCTCTCTACACATAGGACATAGACATGTCCTTTTTCTTCCTACCATCTATTGCATTCCTAGTTTTGCCAGGCTCCTAGCTTTCTTCCCAAACCTTCATGAATCACTCTTCCTCTCCATTTGGAGATCCAGGTAGTGCCTGAGTGCCAGAAAGACACATTAACAGCACTAGAAAGGTTTTTCTCTGAATTTTAGTGCCTAGACCATGACATCTGGGAAATGGAGTGTAGGAGACTTACAGTAAATCTTTGAACCAGCTTAATTCTTCTTTGGGAATGACATATGCACAGATTGGTCAGCCTTCTAAGCTGAGAGTGACTGTGCATGTTCCAGGAATTTTCAGGGATTTGAAAGCCGTTAGGCATATATAAACTGAGATATCTTTTTCTCTAGGTTAAAAACATACCCAGATTTAAACCGAATCTTGTAAGTGCAGTGAAAGGCACATCTTTGAAGCTTTGTGACATTTTGCAGTATTAACCCACAAGGCAGGAGTATGTGTCTCAAAGAAGCGTTTCCAGAACTTTTTCTAGCATTGCGTGTGAAAAATAACCTTTTTTCTGCACAAGGGTTTTTTTCTGAACTCCAAAATTTATTTTACTGAAACTTTCTGTAGCTTTTGATTAGAGCATCAGTCATGGAATCATCTTCTCAAACTACCTTGCAAGATATCTGCAACTGAAAGCAGTGCTTTAACTGGAAATGTGCAGCTTCTGTATTCATGGCTCAGCCCCACTTTAGGCACACTATTGAATAGTGTGTGACTGGAGTTGATAATGTTGTTTCTCATACGGGCTTTGATCCTACAAACACTTGCATAACTTTAATCCTCAAAAATGTTTCTGCTGACAGATGAATATATTTACTGAAAATAGTAATAAGTGTACTAATATGTAGCAGTTTATAGATCTTTGATATATATTTTCTTTTGAAAAAGTGCCTTTAAGATTGAAATGAAATTCATAGAATAACAAATAATGAAAATAACTGTCTCTTTATAGGTAGTGTATTAAGGATTTGTCATAGTATTTGCACATTGATTATGTTGTAATAATACATACACCAAAATACAGATACCATTTCAAGCTTTTGTAAACAAAGCAAAAAGCTATATTCTTCTTGTAAGAAAACCCCTTCCATTGTACTTAGTATGCAAGAAATGTATCAGCATTCAGAAACTCAGCTGAGAAACTGTGTGCCAATTCCAGATTAACATGGTAAATTGATTTTACTGATTTAAAGGAGCTAATGTTTTCATTAGTATTGCAGCATTATTCTATCTATGGACAATTCTAAAACATACTGCAAAGCCCTGACATTTTGAAATTTATGTTCTAGGTTCTTAGAAGTTATCACTGCAGCAAGCAGAGTTTTGACCAAAACATTATTTATGGTGGATTGTCTTTCTGCTGTGAAGTCTCTTTTGTTGTGCTTGAAAACCAAAGAGTAAACCCTTCTATTAAAGGAGCAAAGTAACTCTAGTAACAATTTCTTAGTAATTTATTTACAATGAATGTGTTTGATGGATTTTTTTTCTTATCAATAGGCACAATGGACAATTGGAAAACTGCACTGTCCCTTCTGTGAAGCGCGCTTAGGGGGCTTTAACTTTGTTTGCAACAAAAAATGTTCCTGTGGACAGTTAGTAAATATACACTTCTGCAAAAGTCGGACTGACTATCACCCAGCTTTCTCTGTTAAATTTGCAAAATCACCAGGAAAACACTTACCTCTCCTCAAAATTCACTCTGGCTTTAGCAAGGATGCCTGCCATGAAGTGATAACTACAACTTTGGAAATCAAAAATCAAGGGCTTTCATGCATGGCCAGAAATAATAATGGTACCAGCAGATTAACAGAAGCACTTTGTCTAGAAGTAAGAGCTCCCAGTTTTGAGAGAGAAAGGAAACCATTTCCCTTAAAGGCATTCAATCAAAAAAGAAGTATTTCTGCTTTATATCCTATGAATGGTGCATGCACCATAAAACCTTTTCACAGAAGATCACATAGTTTGGATTTAACTATCAGAGAGAGACTTGTTTTGTCACCTGCATTATATGAAACAATTTACCATGGCCAAAACAAAAATCCACCTGTTTACACACAAAGTGGCTTGCAGTTAGAGTCCAATAGGAAAGATGTTAGCTCTTTCCAGGACCTGTCTAGTCCAAGTGCTGACAAACTACAAAAAAGGTTTCAAGTTACTTCCTTTACCACATTACTACATAAAGAAATAGAAAATGAGTGTGATTTTGAAGCTACTGGACAATCTTCTGAAAATGCCATTGCTGATGGGTCACCTTTTGTGATGAACCTTTCTTCACCTACAAGTGCTGTGGAAGAAGAACAGTACATCACACCTGTTGATACTGTGCAGCCTACAAATATTTCGTTCAACCAAAGGCTGAGTAAGAGAGAAAGAAATAAGCTGAAAAGCTTGAGAAGAAAACAAAGAAGGAAAGAACGGTGGCTACAGAAGCAAGTAGGTGTTTAAAAGTAATAATGATACTTTTTTTGCAAAGTTAGGCTTGAATTTATTTTATTTTTTTTTTAAGCTGTCCTTTAAACCTGCCTTAGCATGGTACTTCCTAGAGTTATGTATCCTGTAGACAAGGATTTATTACATCTTCCTAGATGTAGTCTTTCTAATTCAAACCAGTATGGGTTTTTTCTGTGTAAAATCAAAGCTTGGTGGGTAGATATAACTAGTTTCTATTGGCCTTCATATTGATTTGTGATGTAATAATAAATTTGAAGTGGAAAAATAATAGTTTAAAGTTTATTCAGAGTTTAATCCACTTGGGGTTTTTTTTCTTCAGTGTTCTCACAACCCTCCTGTAAAAATGTCCATTTTGTTACAGCAGTACTTAAAATAGGAAGCTGATCTGTAATACTGTGTAACCACAATTTGCAGCATACTTAGCCCATAGGCTTAAGCAATCAGAAAGTAAAGAAAACAAAGTATAAACCTCTCAGTGGGTGGAGTGAAAGAGTTTTGATAATGACAATGCCAAGTGTTTAATTTATGGGCTCTTTTGAGAGGTACTTCAGTGTAGCAGAACCCTAATGTAAGGTGAATCTCTTATAAGCTCTCTCTGTTAAAGGTACTGTGCGTCTCATTTTTATCTTTAATTAAAGCTTTACTGGAGACAGTCCAAGAGAACAGACTTGTTCAGGCTTTGAAATTTCTTTGTAAATGCATAGGCTGTGACTCTAAGTGCATTTGATAATGTGGTAACTTTATCTGTCAGACGTTTTTTCTGTCGTGCAGTAAGCTCAAATTTTCCCATGAATGTTGTGTTGTGGCAGAATACACTCTATTGCTGAGCTGAAGTATATAAACCTTGCATTTTAAGTAGGACCGATGAGCCCCTGACCTGCTATTGCCTCCAGAGGCCTGCCCTGATGCAGGGTCTGCGGTGAAGTGCGGGTCTGATCTACGCTGCTAACAGCAGAGGGACCCAAGCTTCCTCTTTCTGCTCCACGAGGGAAAGCTCTTAATGCCTGTGAGGCAGATGCTTGCATTTTATGTATGTGTATGCACAAACGTTTGTATTTATGGGGGGGTTTTAGGTTTCTGGTATATTGCTAGGGTATGCTAATAACTACTTAAGTCTAGGAATTGCAAGTATTAATAATGATTCTTGTTATTGTTGCCATAGCCAAGAAGATGAAGCATTTATATTACAAATTCCTTTTTGTATATATCTTGTTTTATGTTTGTATTGTTTGCTAATACCTGGAGCTTGTAACTATTTTCTGAAAGATTTCTCTTGCTGCTGTTCCAAGGTTATATTGATTACTATTCCAAGAAAATATTGGTGAACAGCCTATAATTATAGAAATACTGTATTATTCTTTCTTGTATAATCTGTGAGTATTGGAAACTATTATTTTAATTCTTCTAGAAGCCCGCAGACAACTTAGATTGTAACAATTTATGAGGCTTGCTGTCCCGCAGCTAAGACAATGACCTGTTTATGGAGGCAGGTTGCAGTGGTGTGCAGGTAGGTGCATCCCAGAATGCCAGCCTGGATTCTTATTACACAGATAGATTGAAGAGCAAGCTAAGGTGCAATTAATGTAAGATGACTTGTAGCAGATAAAAATCGAAGTTCAACAGTCGTATGAACAACACCACAAGAATACTTTCATATTTATGAGATTTACCATGTATTACCACAAGGACCACATCAAATGCACAAGGAGAGAGTTTAGGATGAGACTTTATGTAAGAAAAGAATGTATTTTTATAAATTTTATTGAATTTTGTGTCCCAGACCTGTACTCCTTTACTTCTGCAAGTTGTCACTGACTCAGTGTCAAGAATTTCAGTAAGTTTTACATTCCTTACTGGTTTTAATGGTACTAAACTCTCTTGAACACATATCAGCTGAGGTAAATTAAATGCTACTTGCATGGAGATGTAATTAGAGTGCAGGGCTTGGTTCTTCAACCAGCCCTGACCAGCAGGCTCACTGCCTGCACTTCAAGAGAGCAGACTTTGGCCTGTTCAGGAACCCACTTAGTAAGGTTCCATGGGATAAAGCCCTAGAGGGCAGGGGGACCCAAGACTGCTGGTTGATATTCAAGGATCACCTTGATAAGGATCATCCTGTAAGGACCATCCTTATAGGCCCACTTCAGATATTGGAA